AGTAATATTGAATCAACCTTAAGCATTAATTTTGTTTCAAGAATACACTGAAAAAAACAATAGAACAGAAACAATAGAACAAAAAATCAACATGTTTTACACACTAAAAAAAGTAGATTTACTTCATTTTTATTTTGCAAGTTTTTGCACACATAAATTTTAAGTAAAATTTAAGTATTGAATTAAGTAAAATCTACTTAACTAAGTTAGGTAAAATTAGCAAAGGAAATAAGTAAATTTAACATGGCCAGTTAGAGTTTGATGAGTAATTTCTACTTAATTATTTTGTTAAATATGCAGTACATTTCCCTCAGTTACAGTTTGTAAAATTTACTCAAACAATGTAGCACTGGAAAACAACCATGCTATTATAGTATGTGGTTCACTTGCAAACATGCAAGTAAGCAATTAAGTAGGTAGCTTGTTATCCTTTGAAGATAACATGTCCACTCAATATAATTATTACCCAAATGAACACAGAGACCTCAATACTTGGTACACCATACACAATGACGGTAACAATCAGTGGATAGTGTTTGAGTATAAATGGGTCATTTTGAGTAGAAAATTAACTCCAGATATCACAAAACAGTAAGTTACTAATCCTAGTGACAAAATCAACCATAAAACAGTGTAAATACAACTCGAAAACAGTGACAATTTTACACTTTTTAAAATTATTCATGCCCCAGTGCATGATGGGAAAAAATGGAATCATAACTTTGATATTTACTTAAAGAATCCTTGTAAACATAACAAACAATTCCAAGTAAAATATGCTTATAATTTCAAACTTTAATTTCTACAAGCTTAAATTTAGTAATATAGAATTTACTTTATTTTTTAAATTCTTGTCTGAACTAAATTATTTAATGTAGAAATTACACTTTGTTTTTCCGTAGTAGTTACTTCACCACAAAATCATTTTTATCAGTGAAAAGGAGGAGGAAAGAAGAAAGGAAGGAAGAACAAGAAAGGAAAAAAACATTCACAGACAGGAAGGAAACAAGGAAAAAAGGAACGAAGGAAGGACAAGCGAAGGAAGGAAGGAAGGTGGAAGGGAAGCGAAGGAAGGAAGCAAGCAAGCAAGCAAAGAAAGGAAGCAAAGAAGGAAAAAAAGAAAGCAAAGGAAGGAAGGAAAAAACAAAGCATGATCAGAGGGACAGATGGACGGAAATAAATAAGGGGAAAAGAAATTAGTGGAAAAAAGGAATGAAGAAAACCAAAGCAAGCCTTTGGAAGCAAGCAAATGAAGGAAGGAAACAATAGAAAGTAAAGTAAGAAATAAAAGAATGAAGGAAGGAAGGAAAGAGGGAAGAAAACGCGAACAAGCCATAGAAGTAAGGAAGGAAGGGAAGGATGAGGGATGGAAAGATTTAATTAAAAAGGTGAAAAGAAAGAAGGGAAATAAGAAATAAGGGAAGAAAAAAAAGGAACGAAGGAGAAATAAAGAAATGAAGGGGGAAAGAAAGTAAAGAAAGAATAAATTAAGGAAGGAAAGAAAAAGGAAACAGAAGGAGGAAGAAAACAAACTGAAGAAATTAAGCAAAGAACAATGGATGGATTGATGGAAAAGATAAATAGGACATGTTGATATAGAGGTCAAGAAGAAGAAAAAGATGACAGTGAAGAGGGCAGTGGTTAAAAAAGTCCACAGCTCATGGGGGAAGAGAAAGAGAGAGAGAGAGAAAGCGAGCTCTATGGCAGTGAAATGCTGGCAGGCTCTCTGCGGCCCACATTAGTCTGATATAAAAAATGAAGCAGCAACAGCAGCAGCCAGTCTCAGCTGGGACCTGCTCTGTGATAGAGACCAGACTCATTCAACTTTCATTCTCACTCATGCTCTACTCATTAGCAGCACACACAGACCACCCAGTCTCACATCCTCTTAGAGTAGACCAACTCAAACCTTCATTAGGACATGAGAGAAAGAGACGTTCTGTATGAACCTCAACCCTCATTAGAACAATGAGCAAGAGCACACCTCCAAAACACATGCCGCTCTGACAGCTGGACAAGGCCGTTGCGAAAATTCACAGAGTCTGGGACCAAATTTATATCTTCCCTTGGCCTATTGATTAGGCAATATAAAAGACGACATTAGTTATTAAATTGGAAGGCTTTTGTAAGTGATTTAATACACTCTCATGGCGATTCGTAACTATTTTGCATTTTAAACAAATTAGTGGCTAATTAATACAATCTCATTTGTACGTTTTCAAACAATCTGCTAATGCCCCATTGACGGTTAAGTTAAGGAAATGGAATAGAGGGGGAAAAGAAAGAAGAAAAGAAAAACAAGGAAGGAAGCAAAGAAAGACAGGGGAAAAGGAAACGAAGAAAAGAAGCTAAGTAATGAAGCAAAGAAAGAAAGCAAGAAAGAAAGGAAGGGAGGGACAATTTGCTTATGCCCCATTGATGGCTATAGGTTTAGGAAATGGAAAAGAAGGGGAAAATAAATTTGAGAAAGAATAAAGTAAAAAAAGAAAGGAAGCAAGTAAGAAAAAATGAAGGAAGCAAAGAAACAGGAAAACAAAGGAAGAAAGTGAAATAAAAAGAAAGGCAGCAAAGGACTGAGGCAAAGAAAGCCAAGGAAGGAAGCAAAGAAAGAAGCAGTAGTGAACGAAAAGAAGCACAGGAGGAGAGATGGAAGGATAGAAAGTAAAGAAAGGGGAGGAATAGAAGGAAGAAACAAGAAAGTTGGAAATGAAGAAAGAAAGGAAGGCAGCGAAGAAAATTAAGCAAAGGAAAGAATCAAGCAAATAAAGTAAGAAAGCAGGAAAGGATAGAAGGAAACAAAGAAAGGAAGGAAAGAAGCATGGGAGGAAGGAGGGAAGAATGGAAATAAAGAAGAAAAAAGAGATAGAAGAGATAGATCTCGCAAAATAGTTACATTTTCTTATGAGATGGGGTTGGTGCATTGCATTATTTTGGCTTCGGGTACAAAGAATGCCACATTTAATAATTAAATAATGCCACATTTGGCAGTTGTGGTTTGGTATTCTGTGATATCTTGAATACAGGCATCTGTTTCAGCACTGGACAGCGACTGCAGCCACTCCAACAACCTTTTTGTTTGTATTCCAAAGTAGGCAAGTGTAACTAACACGCTAATCTCTTTACACCCTGAAATCACAAGCCTGCTTTTCTCTCTCCTTCCTTTCAGAGTCTGAGGTGGGCATGACAACAGTGAACCGTTGTTTGGATGCTGCTAAGGCTTGTAATGTCGATGAGACGTGTCAGAAACTACGCACGGAGTATGTGTCGGCGTGCATCGCCCCATCAGCGCGAGCCGGGCCCTGCAACAGAGCACGCTGCAGCAAAGCACTGAGGAAGTTCTTTGACCGTGTGCCGCCTGACTACACGCACGAGCTGCTCTTCTGTCCGTGCTCCGACACGGCATGCGCAGAACGACGGCGCCAGACCATTGTGCCTGCGTGCTCGTATGAAGAAAGGGAAAAACCCAATTGCCTGGCACAACTTCGAGTTTGTGAGGCAGACTATGTGTGCAAGTGGGTATTGTGTGAAAACGACTGCTATAAATACAATCAAGCTCTTTTGAAGGGCCTGAAGATTGAAGCTCTGTGCTCTGTAGGGAGCAATATATAAAGGTGCACAAAGTCATTTTGTTCCTTTCTAAAATAAATTAAAATGATTACATGTTAAAATTATTATATGTTTAAAATAATGTAAACTCACATTGAGATTCACTTCAGTCATAACTCACCAGTCAACTTGCCATAACATCCCATAGATGTAAGGGTGCTTCAAAGCTGGTGAAAAAAATCAAGCTTATATTGATAGTAGACTGTACATCATAAGCATAAAAGTATAGGAAGTATTTACTCTTCCTGTTACTTTATCTGTTCATTACGAACAAACAGAGAGACAGATCCATTGAACACATTGAGTCCCACTATGAGTCTGTAGAGCTGCAGTCACTCTGCAAGGATCTCAGTAGAGCAGAGTTTGAGTGGTCATGTTTGAGCCTCCCACTTTTCACATCACAAACCCAAAGGCCTTCATCGGTCTCTGCCATCGATCAACCATCACGCTTACACACGGCAAGCAAACAGTCTGCTGACACAACACATTACACAAGAGGAGATCACTTACGGCCACAACCACAGCCAGTTAGCATAAGAAATCAGCAGGGAATGTGGGTAATTCCTCTGAGACTGACCTGGTTACATGATTGATTGGTCACCAGAGGACTGGCAGAATGTGTCCTGCATGTAAATGGTCGCTGTCGGCGGAGTTTCCGTCTGCTGAGTATCTGGCAGTTCTCCAGAATTCTGAAATGCAGTCATGTCTCTGATTAAAATGAGAGCAAAACGAATGGATCAGGACTGTGCAGAGTATATGTAGGGGGGGATTGAAAAAAGAGAAAATGACTGAGAATGGAGTGTGTTGGTGTAAAGCTTTCTAAACAGAACAGAAGAAGACAAAACAGAACAGAGTATGTAGCCCCTTCTACACATATAATGCAAGGTAGCATAGCGGAAAGTGTTTGTGGAAATGCATGTTTCTGAGGGTTTGCTGACTGGCTGGATGATGGATGTGCTGTTGTGGTTCCCTCAGGTCTCGCTGGGCTCAGTTCCAGCACGACTGCCAACCCTCCGAGCTTACTGCCAGCGGCTGCCAGCAAGAAAATTACGGAGCCTGCCTTGTTGCGTACACCGGCCTGATAGGTGAGAACTCTGGGCAACGTAGTCCACCCTGGCTTATCACATACACCAGTCAGGTAGATTAGAATTATGGCCATTACAATCTTATCGGGCTTGGCATTACAATCTTATCCACCGACAGGTAGAATTCTAAAAAGAGAAGACCACCGTGACACAAGCTTTTAGGGGTTTATATTAGACTTTATCAACAATGCATGTGATGCATATACTACAATTACAATCCTCATTACAAACATGTATGACTTCTGCAGAACACAAAAGAAGATATTTTCAAGAATGCTTCAGTTGTTTTTGTCCATACGATGACAGTCAGTGGGGTCTAAATTATCTAAGCTTTTAAGTCAGGGGTGTCCATTTCTGCTCCTGGAAGGCCAATGTCTTGCAGAGTTTAGCTCCAATCGGCTCCAACACACCTGTCTCATAGTGAAATACAGCATTTCACTTCACTTTTTTTATGTCCTTCCCTTGCTAACTTCCCTCCATCTTGCTGACTCGGATGGATGTCATTGTTTATATTTCTCAAGTGCCCACTACTGGCGGAACCCTTGCAATGGGTTAAACTGGAATGTCCTTGGAAGCAAGTATTTTACGATTAAATCTCAAAATAATTCATATACAGTATATCATACATTAGAGTTGTGAGGGGTGGGGATAAATTAAACACCATCTGCTGTGACATCACAATCATGTTGCTTTGTGGTATATTGAGCTGCCTGAAGGATACATATGAGTTGACTCACTCCGTCTATCTAAGGGGTCAAGGGTCTGTCCATATAAACTTCCTCCTCCACTTGACAAAGTAGAAGTAGAAATTTTTCAAAAAGCGAAATGGAACACACCCCGTTTCTAGTAGAGGTCCAGAATATCTTGATTAGCTGGTTCAGGTGTGTTTATTTAGGTTTGGATCTAAACTTTGCAGGACGCTGGCCCTTCAGGAGCAGGTTTGGACACCACTGCTTTAAGCTGTTATTTGGTTCTGCGGCTCTGTACGAACCCAAGTACTTTTGGGTCTGATCTCTGCAGTAAATTTGTGTCATTAACTTATGTACCACCATAACTACTAGCGGCAGCTGATTATCACTATAAACAAGCAATGATTCTGGGTGAGAAGATTCCAGCTTCTACTAAAACAAAAGTTTTAGTACTTCACAGCATTTGTCTGTGGAGGTATTGCAAAAGATGCAGTATAAACAATGTGGGCTGCTTTCCGAAGGCAATTTATTTGGAGACAAGCAGCTATGAGACACATTTCACTATAATAAATGTGACCAGGAACGTGCAGTGATGCAAATTTTATGTCATCCGTTAGAGGCTCACTTTTGTTGTTAGTACCGGAAACAAACTGAACTCAGATTACAAATGGACTCGGCCAAAAACGTTAGAGTGACAGCACCCTGAAAGTCTTCCCCTGCACTGTAGCTTTCGAATCTTTTTCGCATATTATTCAATAAGGTGTGTAAGGACGTGGGGGTAGACGCTTCATGATTGACGTCAATAATGACAAATGTTTGATGGAATTGTGAATGAGATCTGCTGTTAAAGAGAACTACAGAAGAGTTTATGACATTAACAAATGTACAAGTCAGAGACGGCAAGACAGAGATAGCGAAGACAAAGAGAGACCAAGCACTCTGCCCTGACTGTTAGTCAGTACGGCAGTATTTTCCAAGAGCGGTTGTGAAGATGTTGCGCTTTTGTGTTCTGGGACAAAAGAAATCAATGTGTTTAAACGGGTCCCTATCAGACCATAGAGTTCTAGAGTGCAGCACCTCCACTTTCCCCGCTTTCAGCTGACGCCTTCAACACTCATTCACTCACACAGTGGAAAAGCACTGTCATTTTCCTCCCCTGCTGAACAAAGACAGAGCTCTAAGAGCTACGGACCTATATCCACTGCAATCAATGTTCCAGCCCACTTATGTAACCCACACACAAGATAAAGATTGACAGAGCTTTTCATATCCGTTTTAGCCGAGGGCTTATAGAATACCACAATGTGATTGCGTTAAAATGCAACAAACATTTTAAATTCAAAAAGGTGAAAGTGTCTTTGTGCTGATGGAAGGTGGAAGAGTGTTGGTCACAAGTAGCGAGAAAATATTTCCCATAATGTAGGACTCAGATATGACAGATGGATGCTGCATTTTGGGATACCGGTAGACTTAAACTGCATTTGGCTTTCTGTTTTGCAACTGATGTTCTGTTCCGTGTTATTTCTGTCTCACTCTCTCTTTCTCTCATTCTCACACCCTGTAGGTAGCATTATCACTCCAAACTACCTAGATAACTCTACATCCAATGTAGGAGCATGGTGCTCTTGTGCGGCTAGTGGGAATTTCCGAGATCAGTGCAACCACTTCCTTGGCCATTTCCATGACAACAATTGCTTGAGTGAGTAAAAACCTCTCCTCTGTCCTATATCACAAATAAACATTACGATCATTGCTGGAGATTCCCTTTTGTGCTCGCAGGGAAAATGAGAGGGAGGCATAGAAACCACATGCAGTGGCATATAGCCTGTTTCATCACTTCCTGGCAAAAGTAGCTTGTGAAGTAGCATTTCCACACATCCACTACCTTGGCATTGTCCTTTGACCTGGATGTTCTTTGACCCATGACACACACTAACAACAACTGTAAAAACAATACTGGGCCTGTCCCAAAACCTACACTTACAGTATGAAGACTGTCCCAGGTCTGACATAGAAAACTGTTCTGGGTTCCCCAAAGAACCTTTCAATGAAAGGTTTTAAAAGACTTTTATTTCTTAGTGCAGAAATTGTTAATAATCTGAAGAAAATTTTTTCCTAGTAGTAAAAAATAAAAGAAAGAAAAAGAGCATTTTGTCTAATTGAAAGGTTCCATTGATGTTAAAGGTTCTTATGAAACCAGAGATGCCAATGAAGAACCTTTATTTTTAAGAGTGTCGTGCATTTCCCCCACACTGGTAGTTTCAGTTTACATTTTAAATAAATGTTTAGGCTTGGTGTTTATAATAAATGCTTATAATGTATGCCGCTATAATATATGTTTGTTTTATGTGTGACTTATAGTCGGGTGCAACTTATTTTCTGAAAAATATGGTATGTGTTTTTTGTAAACCTTTTGCAACTGCTTTTAAGCACTTAATTAGAAACACCACAATCACTAAATTGTGTCATCTGTTAGACTAGAGAACAGATCTTTCAAAGTTTATTTAATGTGCAAAGTATTGAAAATCAAAATGTTTAAAAGCGTTGCAAAACTTCACTTGAATTTTTACATAACTATAAGTGTGTCTCATCGGGTATTCAGAAGTTCTACACACACTTGCGCCTTCACGTCCACTTGAACACTTGGGCCAAATGCAGTAAATATGGCCTCATGGGAAAGCAAAGGGTCCATTGTCTCCTTGATTTTGAATCCCAGCAGAAGCAGGACGTCATCTGGGTTTCGTACACCTACTGTATCATCAATACAGCCAATTCACCTTTTACATGTGTGGAGAAGGGTGCATATATGGATGCAGGGACTGTTCCACACTCATATACTCCAGCTGATAGAAAATAGACCCAGGTGATGCAACACAAGAGTCAGCAGAGAGACGTATCTGCATCCCTGTTCTTCACAGTCAGCACTATTATTGTGCATTCAGCAGCGCTGAGAGAAAACTCTCTTGATGTAACGTTATGAAGTTTCAATGCCTGTCGGTAATGAGGCATTAACAGTCATCAGGAGCACAGGATATCTTCAGCGGTGTGCTCTGCTCATGCCCCGCTGCATCTCTGAGCCACTAATAACAAACAAACCATGTAAACACATCCGT